GCCATGGCTCTGATGCCACTTGTTAGTCTCAGGTAAGCAAAAAATGCTTCCGGCACAAACGAACACTTTTAGGATGAAAGAAGAAGATTATGAACAACTCAATGTATTGAGTATTTTTCTGTGTGTTTACAAAACAAAAACTGCACCCCTATTTATAAGAACTAAAAACAACTATCTAGTGACTTTCCTAGAAATTACTTAAGTTGAAAAGTCTTAAAAATCATCCTAAAATGGCTACTATGAAAGTGCTTTGCAGCTGCAAGGAAAGTGTAATGAAATTGCAAGAAAACAACAAGGAAACATCAGATTATATTTCTTATATTCAGATGTCTATTTAACCAAGAAACTCAAACGAGTGAAGGGTGGCATGATTCAGCGAATAAAAAAAATCAATTAATTAAAATATAGCTAGAACACATTATTATAAACTGTCACAGGTTCATTCAATGAATTCCTATAAGCTTCAGTTGAATACTACTAATCGCCAAAATTTTAAAATACCTGAACATGGGTTCATATGATTTGACATCTCGGCATTCATCTATATCAGGGAATGAAGGATGATGAGCAAGCGAATGGACCACATATGGGAGAATGTATTCTGGATAAATAGAAGGTGACATGGCATCAGCCTGCACAGAGATTTTGTGTCCCCTCCCTTGCCGACACATTTGGATGATGTCATTCAAATAGCGTTTATTCTGCCAAACAGATTAAGCAAATGGGTATTATTATTAATCTTTTGCAGTTTCATGTTTTAGATGAAATGCAGGTACAATAACACAAATAAGAACAGAGATACATCGTGTAGTATCATACCTCTTCAAAATCTGCCTGCGAAGCTGGAACATCCAGCAAGAAGGCACAGGAATACTTTGGGTCTAAAATCCGGTCCCTCACATATTGATGAACCTTGCTGAGAAGAAGTTTCTTGACCTCAGGAAAGTTATCCTACAAATCCAAGGGCAAGGGTTATGCAATTATTAGATGTTAGTTTTTTTAGCTAATATGCAATACAAAATTCCAAGTGCACGCTTCAAAGTAAACACCTCTGAAGTTCTCAAAGTGAGGTAAAGAACATCAACAGGAATCTTATGCTCCCAGTGCTTTGATAGGCGAAGGACAGCTTTAGCTGCAGCTAGTTTCAAATGTGCCTTATCAACTGAACTGTAACATGGACAAGGACACCAGAAGATCTTAGGCCATAATACGGCAACAAATATAGAAATCATAAACATGAAATCTCTCTAATGAATCCGAACAAACCTTGACTTGATTTCTTCTGATATATCACCAAAGAAGAGTATATTTTTTATGATATTAACTACATCATCAATTCCAGAACGAAGCTGGATATCTTTTACAGGTAAATAGCTCTTGACTAATGCTTTAAGACCAAAAATCTGCAGGGACAATAAAAATGACAATTTATTGCCAGAGGTACTCCAAGAGAACAACTATTTTGAGAGACGAAGTATAAGAAGCATTGCAAGACCTTTAAAGAACAAAGTTCACTTATATCATCCCAACAAGTATCTGCTTTGTTTTCAGTTACCTGTGTAATGCAAACTGTTATAACAAATATAATAAGAAAAGAGAGTGTACAAAACAAAGAACTTTCAAATCTAATGGCATACATGTCCCAGCTTCAGTATGTTTTCCTTAATGAAATTCTGGACCTCACTTTCTCTTGTTTCAAAGACTGGCATAGCAGCTTGTGCTATGCATCCGAGAGATTGTAAAACAGCTGGCAAGTGGGATTTCTCTTCAAGCATATCAACTAACCTCTATTTGTTTAGAAGAGAAAACAAAATCACAAAATGAAGAAATATAATGAACTGTTAAAAAAGACGAGCAAATGAGAATAAAAATAATATAATGACTATGGAAGGAAAAGAATAAGCAAGGCAAAACCTTGTAAAGAACAGAGAGTGACTTAAGACCGTCATCTTTTGTGATGGATGCCAGGGCATGAACAGCATACTTAGCCTGCCTTCGGCTACCTTCAATGCTTATGCGCTCCAGAATAAGGTCTAATGATCTATAAGCAGAAGGACTGCGACTAATTAAAGATGCCATCCAAAAAAGAACTAAAGAAGAAAAAACATCAGGAAAAGCAAGTGATTTTTAGATAGTCTAACCTTGATGAGACACCCAATTTTTCTCTGATAGTTCCCCCAGCCCTTGCAAGAATATGCAATGTGCCCTCCTTAATAATTTCATTATCATCCTCAAGTAGATGAACCAAATCTTCTTCAATTCCACCAAACAACAGAGGGAAAAATCGTGCTAGAATCTGGGAATTCGATCCATAAAAAAAAAAAATCCAAGATCTTAGTCCCTTTCATTTTAGTGCTGCAATAGAAAGATGGGGCTGCGTGCGGGCATTTTCAAAAGTAACACTATTCACTCACCTTCAGTTTTTTTTCCCAACAGTCATTTATATTCACTAATGAAACATCAATCACCAATCATTACATATGTCCTACCAGATTCTACTCTTCACCCGTTCACATATGTCTGGTTGCCAATCCTTATTTTACAATTTCTATAACAGATATTCAGATTAACTTCCATCATTAAATTCCATCCCATATCCCCACACACTCTCAAATATTATTCTTCTCTTTTAGAAAATTGTTTCCGCAACTATTATCTAGCCAGAAAAAGAAATCCAAAAGGAAAAGGATGATGGTCACACCCTCAATTTTTTATTGAAAACAAGGAATAACAATACAATACTAGCATCGTTCAGGTCTCCATAGCTCATCAACAAACAATCCATCTCTACCAACATCATACATTCACTAACATGTTTTTAGCATTGGCGCTTGGCGGTTCACTTCCAATACATAATTATAACTACAAATCATCTACGAAACTGTTAAACAGCTGCCAAGGGAATATAAAGTCGATAATATAAGATAATAAATTAGTTTATATAAATCAATATAACAGTAAATAATATACCACAAGAATAGCCATGCAGGACAAAATTAACTCAGCAGTTCCAGAGGACTTCTGCACACGAGCTTCCAGAAGGAACTCTCTGACATGATCTTTGTCAAAAAGCATATAAGAGAATTTCAAAGAAAGTGCGCCCAGAAACTCATAGAGTCGATGCTTCTGACCAAGGACCTTTAGCAAATCGTCCTGCAAGGCTTTACATTAGAATCTCATATATGATTTTGATTTTTGCAAGCACCAATAAAATAAACAGAAGAAGGCAGAGTGAGCTCCGATTTCTGTAATGCCTCACCCGTAAACTACTGGATCGCAGAGCGCTGGTTTTTGGGTCAATGAGACGTGAAAAGATTTTCCAAATGTTGGCATCTTTCAACTGGTCGAGAATCTGAAAGTTCTCCTCTGCCTTTGCAGGATCGCCAAAACAGCGAGACATGACACGAAAGCAAAATACTACCTTCTTTCTCATCTCAGTATCATCACCTTCCTGAATATGGACAAGACGACTAAATATTTCATGACATCTTCAAAAGCCAATGAATTAGAAATGTGCAATCCCTAGAAGCAAACCTGAGATGACTCTCTGAGGGAGAGGTACTTCTGCATCTCTTGTTGTAATCTGCACCACAGTAGTAAACATTAAACTTACAATTACTTAATTATATAATCAAAAGCAATAACAATTAGTAAAGTATATAATCTAAAGCAAAAACCTAAAATCAAAAAACAAAAAACCAAAGAAAAAAGAAACTTGTGTTAAAAAAGGCAGCGATTACAAACCTTCGCTTCTGCTCTAGTATCTTCTCAAGAGCCTTAACCTCAACTTTGTCGAATCCAGAAAACAACCTGACCCATTTTGCTACCTTATCCTTGACAGAAAATTCAGGTGGGAACAAGGACAGAGATAGGATATGTTCAATTGTATCTGATCTGCAAAGAGAAACCAGGTCCCAAGATCATATATGAGAAATCACGAGTCAAAACCATTTAAAGCATCGTCGGCACCCAAAGTGGTCTAAGCTTACACTTTTTCTTGGAAACACTTATTTTGAATATTACATAGCTTTTTACTGGGTTTAGATTGCTTTTAAAAGCAGCTAGAGGCCGTACTGTTACTTTTTTTTAATAATATATTATTTGATTGGTCGTATATTTCAGTCAGGACAAGTGAACTCAATCAGCAATTGGAATCAAAATCCAGTAACCTACCTGAAATCTTTGTCGTAAAAGCATCTCAATATCCTCCCCACAATCCAATCATATTCATCATCCCTAGTCGAATCCGTAGAATGCTTAATCCAAGACATTCGGTATATGTCACCCAACCTCTCCATAGCATACCTTTTGACCAGAACCTGGATTTTTGCAGCAAAATTGATCAGAGTATGAATTAAGTGGTTGCCAAAAATGAAACGAAAAAAGCTGCAGAGGCAGCGGTCACACGTACAGATTTGTCACGAAGGCGTTCTGAGACCATCTTAATGGTTTCAGCGGGAATGGATTTGAGAGAATGACATGCCACATCACACAGCACAGCAACAACTTGTTTGCGGACATTCTCATCGTAGTCCAGCAAACGGTCACAAAGAGCAGCTGTGAGATTTCAATATCATCAGACTGAAAACAATACCAAAAAAATTGACTTTATAGAAATGCTTACAGATAATTTGATGAGCTTCGTCTCTGAAGGGATTCTCCAAAAGACAAATCTTGACATGGTGGAGGACAGACATTCTGACATTGACTACTCTATCAGTCAGCCTTTTCAGAAACTCCAAAAAGACAGGTTCGAAGGCTTCAGAAATAGTCGATTTAGGCAACGCAAAGAGGTCCCCAACTAAACTCACTGCTTTCATACGGATCTCCACTTGATCACTCTGTCGAAGTCAAACAAAACTTATGAACGCACACACAACACTATAGACACTAAATAAGCGCGATTATGGTTATCAAAATCACTGCTTCTTCCCAAATAGATAGATAGATATTTTGTGTGTGTGTGTGTGTGTCCATGTAGATAGTAAAGAGCTCTTAAAGCAAGTCAATCACAACTCTAGAAAAATAATAAGAAGAAGATTCTAGAATACATAGCCGATTCCAGGCGCTCTCACCTAAAGGAAAAGGAGCAGACAAGAAAAAACATATGTGAGCATGTCATATTTGGAACCACAATCAAAAGTCTCCTCATCATGCAAGAAACAAAAAAAATCACCAAAGCTACTGATGATAATTACCAGCAGCTCTCCGGTGAGATAAGGAACAACCCCAGGTAAGATTTGAGGGGCACAATGGTAGATATCATAAAGTACAGCATGATAATCAGTCTCAGGAAAAAGGGGTCTTCTATCCCCCGACATTGATGACACGAGAAATTGCTTTATGCCAGGTTCCAGTTTTGTGGCACAATTCCCTATCATACTCATAGCAAGCTTCCTTGCAGCCATAGTTACACCCTAGCAACAAAACTCCAACTTTCAATTATCAACAATGAAAGAGAGAGGGAGAGAGAGAGAGAGAAGAAGAAAGCAATAAATAAAGAAAAGAAACAGAGAGCAATGAAAAAAAAAAAGAGTGAGTGAGAAAAGCAGAGCACCTCCTTATCACGGCCTAAAATAGACAACAAAATAAACAATAAACTCTCTGGTACATCTTCACATTCATCTAACAGAACCTCCATGATCGTTTGCATTGAAGTCAAGACATTGCCAGGATGCTCATCTCTGCATGCCAAGAAACTACAAGGTAAGAACATTAAAGGAGAGCACACATGAAGCATCCACACATCAACAAAAGTATCAGTCCTCCAATGCTAGTCACTAGAATCATAGAAATATATTTTTTAGTGTTGTTTCTTTTGGTTACATTCTTCTCAACAACAAAATGGGGGAATGACTTCTCCACTACCTTCTCAACACGTGCATCTTCTTCTAGTTATACATCTCTATGGGTTTTAACTGTAAAGACTCCTGAACCAGACTCTCCACCACCAACAAGCACGTGTGAGTAAAACAACACGTTTAAAATGCAGATTTCATCAAACATGCAAGCAAGCAGGCCTGCTTGTAGCAATATTTTTTATGACTATGATACAGTTATGCACCACCACCCTCGTCTAACCCAAGTATTTTGCAAGCAAGAAATAATACAGGGGGACTAAAATACTTAGAAGCGTGAAACAAAAGGGAACAAGTGTCGACTTGATGAAGAAATAATCCGCCGGTTACAGGAAAAGGGAAAAAAAAATGCACGTGAAGAGGAAAACTGAAATAACACTACATTGATGTGAAAAATATGAAAAGAATAAACGACCATAAATTATTATCATTGAAATGATAGAATATAGACAACATTAGTGCCCAATACACAATTGAACTTGTCTCACTCAAAGTGAGCCGCACCTGACAACAGCAAAAAATGTATTGAACATTTCCTTTATGAGATCATAACATTCAAGATCCAGCATCACGACACATGATTTATATTTAGCCATAGTTTCGAGAATAACAGCCCTCCTTCTGAATGATGAAGCTTTTATATCATTTAAGCCACTGAAAGTACTCACAATCAACTGAAAAATATCCTGGGAACATAAAACAGAAAAAGTCAAACTACAAGTCATATATATATATACAAGGTAGAAACATTGGGCATACTTCTACTAAATGAATAAATTCCACCAATCTTATTGCAAAGGAGCAAGTACCTTGAAGACATTGTCATCGTAAGGGGCCTCGGGTGCAGTAATTCGAGTTATTTCACAAACGCAAGAAGCTAAAAAGAGCTTGACCTCCCGATCCTGATGTTGCAGATACTCTGGCTTGGCTACCGCATTTACGAGAGGCTGCATAGAGTCAACGACTGATTTTGTAGGTGACTGATCTAAGTGAGCAAGACATGCTTCACTTTGCTGCAGGAAGAGAAACCATCGAATTACTATGCAACAATCGGCCAAAAATCCAAATCTCTTTATGCCTACGAACTACAGAACTCACAAACGCTGGTAGCCTTTGGATAAACTGAAAAGTTCAATACTTTCTGGGTGCAGTGTGTATCCCAAGATTCCCAACTCACAATCATGAAAATAAATCTTTCTTGATGGTGGTCACTGGTCAGTAACATTATTGAGGGTTCCTATGGAGGTAATCAAACTTAAATGCTAAAACTAATGAAACAGTGAATACATGTCACACTTTGTATTTGATTAGGTATGAGAAGGATGAAAGATGTGTTGCGCCAGTTTCTAATAGAAATATAGAATTATATGTGTGTAGTACAATCTCTCCTTTTATCACCAATATTTATTCACACGCATGAAAAACAAATATACATATCTGCATAGACGCTTTATCAAGGCCAACTGATCAAAACCTTGGAACACAACAAATGTTTCCTACTGAAACACACTGATTATGTATACTTAATAGACAAATATTATCCTCCGGACTGCTCATAAACAACTCTTATTGAAATTAAGAAAAGAAATCACTTTCTGCTTTGGCCCTCTAACAAATTAATATTCAAGTGAAGGTTGGAGTTCCAACCATACAAGACTCGAACTTTACGTTTTTCTTCCAGACGAACTAACAAGCGAAGGCCGTGGAACCCTAATTAGCACAAATACACAATTCATCACCGAGATTTCCATATCACTCAACTCGAAAGCACTCCGATAAAGATATGAACTTTTGGCTGTAACATAAAGCACCCAGTTGATCCAAACATCACCTAAAAAAACCCTAATTCAACCCCCATTTCACAAATCCCAAGCATGCATCAACAAACAATACTCTCAAACGAGCACGAAATTAACTAAACAGACACAAAACATTAAAAAGCTTCTACCGAAATTCGAACGCAAACAAGACGCGCAGAAAGGTGATTCCTCACCTTCAGGAGCTTAATGATAGCGTCTTTCGATGCCGGCAGACTCTCCAACTTCGATCCCAGCTCTTTAAGCTGCTGCAGCACCTCTAGAGCCATTAAAAAGCAAAAAAAAAAAAATTTTAAAAAAATACAGAATTCGTTTCACGCCTTCAATGCGGATGGCTTTTCCATAAGCATTAACTGCGTGTTTTCAGTGTGTGATTTTTTCTCTCAGGCTGTGAGAATCGAATTGAATTTGGGGCTTCTCGTTTGCTTTGCTTTTTTGGGTTGTTCCGAACACAAGAGCACGAGAATCATATTTCCTCTGTAATTTTAAAAATGAAAATAATAACAGAATTGGGAATAAATAATTAATAAGCGCTCGTGTATTTTTGCAACCGGTGGTCTTCAACTTTTTACTATTTGCTTGTTGGTCCATGCATTCTGTGTTTTTCCCTTTTTTCCTTTTTCAATTTTTCCAATTTCTATCAGGATTTTATCTCAAGATTGATGATAACACACTAATGTGATTTTTTTTTTTTCAAAAGAAAGCTTATATGATAAATTTATCAAAGACTAAATTTGTGTTAGATTTCATTTTATTTGAATGATAAATGTTTGAGTCTTTTCATATTATGAAATTTGGGTATTGAGAAATTTCAAATTTGATTAATTTGATTAAGATTCAAATTTAAAATCCCAAATCAATCATTTATATATGGCATGTTATTACATCTGCATCAGATTACAGTAATTACTACAGTTTTTATTTGTATTCCTATTAAGGTAAATATGAAAGTTGCGTTGTACTGATACACATTAACGATTTATATCACTAGCCATTTCGTACTGGATTAAAAAGTATATATGATAAGTTTATAAAAGTTTGTATACTAAATCTTATGCTAGAATTCATTTTATCTGAATGATAAAGGATTGAGATTTTGGATTAACACTTCTTTTTTAGATTAAGAAATTTGGATATTGAGAAATTTGAATAATTTGACTTAGCATTCAAATTTAAAATCTCAATTCAGTAATTTATGGCATGTTATTACATCTGCATCAGATAACATTAATTACTATAATTTTTATTTGTATTCCTATTACAGAATACAAATAATTTCTGGCATCGCATCCGACATCTCCGGCCGAACGGTTAGGCAACACTAGGGCGCCTGGGTCAAAATTCCGTTTACCAAACAAGATGTATGTCGGTTTATGAAAGTATTAATTTATGGCATGTTACATCTGCAATAAGTTTTTTCGCATTTATGAAAGCAGTAATTTATGGCATATTATTCTTGTATTAAAAATATATATAATAAATTGTTAAAGGTTTATATATACTAAATATGTGCTAGAATTCATTTTATTTGAATGATAAAGGATTGAGACTTTGGATTAACGTTTTTTTTTAGATTATGAAATTTGGGTATTGAGAAATTTGAATAATTGACTTAGCATTCAAATTTAAAATCCCAATTCAATAATTGATGGAATGTTATTACATCTGCATCAGTTACAGTAATTACTATAATTTTTACTTGTATTCCTATTAAGGAAAATATGAAAGATGTCTTGTACTGATACACATTAACAATTTATATCACTAATCATTTTGTACTCGATTAAAAAGTATATATATGATAAATTTATAAAAGTTTATATACTAAATTTGTGCTCGAATCCATTTTATTTGAATGATAAATGATTGAAACTTTGGATTAATGCTTTTTTTTTAGATTATGAAATATGGGTATTGAGAAATTTGAATAATTTGACTTAGATTCGAATTTAAAACTCCAAATCAATAATTTATAGCATGTTATTACATTTGCGTCAGATTACAGTAATTACTATAGTTTTTATTTGTATTCTTATTAAGGCACATATGAAAGTTGTCTTGTACTGATACACATTATCAATTTATATACTAGCCATTTGTACTGATTAAAAAGTATATATGATAAATTTATAAAAGCTTATATACTAAATATGTGTTTGATTTCATTTATTTGGAAGATAAATGATTGAAAATTTGGATTAACGTTCTTTTTTTTAGATTATGAAATTTGGATATTGAGAAATTTGAATAGTTTGACTTATCATTCAAATTTAAAATCCCAAATCAATAATTTATGGCATGTTATTACATTTGTATCAGATTACAATAATTAATAAAGTTTTTTATTTGTATTCCTATTAAGGCAAATATGAAAGTTGTCTTGTAGTTATACACATTATCAATTTATATATGATTAAAAAGTATATATGATAAATTTGTAAGAGTTTTTATACTAAATCTGTGCTCTAATTCATTTTATTTTAATGAAAGGATTGAGATTTGGATTAACGCTTTTTTTTTTAAATTATGAAATTTGGGTATTGAGAGATTTGAATAATTTGAATTAGAATTTAAATTTAAAATCCCAAATCAATAATTTATGGCATGTTATTATAAAGTATATATGATTAAAAAATCCCAAATCAAATTTAAAATCCATTTTGTACATGATTAAAAAGTATATATGATAAATTTGTAAGAGTTTTTATACTAAATCTGTGCTCTAATTCATTTTATTTTAATGAAAGGATTGAGATTTGGATTAACGCTTTTTTTTTAAATTATGAAATTTGGGTATTGAGAGATTTGAATAATTTGAATTAGAATTCAAATTTAAAATCCCAAATCAATAATTTATGGCATGTTATTACATTTGCATCAGATTATAGTAATCACTATAGTTTTTATTTGTGTTCCTTTTGAGGCAAATATGAAAGTTGTCTTGTACTAACACACATTATCAATTTATATCACTAGCCATTTGTACTGGATTAAAAAGTATATATATGAAAAATTTATAAAAGTTTATATACTAAATTTGTACTTGAATTCATTTTATTTGAATGATAAAGGATTGAGACTTTGGATCAACTTTTTTTTTTAAATAATGAAATTTGGGTATTGAGAAATTTGAATTATTTGAGTTAGCATTCAAAATTTAAACTCCCAAATCAATAATTTATGACATGTTCTTACATCTGTATCATATTACAGTAATTACTATAGTTTTTATTTGTATTCCTATTAAGGCAAATATGAAAGTTGCCTTGTACTGATACACATTATCGATTTATATCATTAACCATTTTGTACTGGATTAAAAAATATATGTGATAAATTTATAAAAGTTTATATACTAAATCTGTGCTCGAATTCATTATAAAGGATTGAGACTTTGGATTAACGTTTTTTTTTAGATTATGAAATTTGGGTATTGAGAAATGTGAATAGTTTGACTTAGCATTCAAATTTAAAATCCCAAATTAACTTATGGCATGTTATTACACCTACATTAGATTACAATAATTACTATAGGTCCTTTTTTATTTCTATTAAGGCAAATATGAAAGGTGTCTTGTACTGATAAACATTATCAATTTATATCATGAGCCATTTGTACTGGAATAAAAAGTATATATGATAAATTTATAAAAATTAATATACTAAATTTATGATCGAACACACTTTATTTGAATAATAAAGGATTGAGACTATGGAATAAAGTTTTTTTTATAGATATGAAATTTGGGTATTGAGAATTTTGAATAATTTGACTTAGCATTCAAATTAAAATCCCAGAATCAATCATTCATGGCATGTTATTACATCTTTATCAGATTACAACAATTACTATAGTTTTTGTTTGTATTCCTATTAAGGAAAATATGAAAGTTGTCTTGTACTGATACATATTATCAATTTATATCACTAGCCATTTGTACTGGATAAAAAAAGTATATATGATAAATTTATGAAAGGTTATATGCTAAATCTGTGCTCGAATTCATTTTATTTGAATGATAAAAATTTGAGACTATAGATTAACGCTATTTTTTTTAGATTATGAAATTTGGGTATTGAGAAATTTGAATAATTTGACATAGCATTCAAATTTAAAATTTTAAATTAATAATTTATGGCACGTTATTACATCTTCATCAAATTACAGTAATTACTATACCTTTTATCTCTATTTCTATTATGGCAAATATGAAAGCTGTCATGTACTGATACACATTATCAATTTATATCAGTAACCATTTTTACTGGATTAGAAAGTATATATAATAAATTTATAAAAGTTTATATACTAAATCTGTGCTCGAGTTCATCTTATTTGAATGATAAAGGATTGAGACTTTGGATTTACGTTTTTTTTTTAGATTATGAAATTTGGGTATTGAGAAATTTGAATAATTCGACTTAGCATTCAAATTTAAAATCTCCAATCAATAATTTATGGCATGTTATTACATATGTATCAGATTACAGTAACTACTAAAGTTTTTATTTGTATTCCTTTTAAGACAATATGAAAATTGTCTTGTACTGATAAGCATTATCAATTTATATCACTAGCAATTTTGTACCGGATTAAAAAGTATATATGATAAATTTATAAACGTTTATATACTAAACTTGTGCTCGAATTCATTTTATTTGAATGATAAAGGATTGAGACTTTGGATTAACGCTTTTTTTTAGATTATAAAATTTGGGTATTGAGAAATTTGAATAACTTGACTTAGCATTCAAATTTAAAATTTCAAATCAATAATTTATGGCATGTTATTACATCTGCATCAGATTACAGTAATTACTATAGTTTTTATTTGTATTCCTATTAAGACAAATATGAAAGTTGCCTTGTACTGATACACACTATCAATTTATATCACTAGCCATTTGTACTGGATTAAAAAGTATATATATGATAAGTTTATAAAAGTTCATATACTAAATCTTTGCTCAAATTCATTTTATTTGAATGATAAAGGACTGAGACTTTGGATTAACGCTATTTTTTTAGATTATAAAATTTAGGTATTGAAAATTTTGAATAATTTGACTTGACATTCAAATTTAGAATCCCAAATCAATAATTTATGGCATGTTATTACATCTGTATCAGATTAGAGTAATTACTATAGTTTTTATTTGTATTCCTATTATGGTAAATATGAAAGTTGTCTTGTACTGATACACATTATCAATTTATATCACTAGCCATTTTGTACTGGATAAAAAAGTATATATGATAAATTTATAA